TATTTAATTGAATACATGCTGTAAATCTTAATATGGTAATGCACACAAATTATAAAAAGGTAGAAATGTTCAACATTAGTGTTAATTGAGTTAATATGACATTAAGGCGAATAAGGAAAATGACCATGGTGTCAGTGGGCTTGATTGGTCAGCGAACTAAGCTGACCTAAACCCCATAGATAATATTTGGAGTATTGTCAAGAGGAAGAGGAGAAACACCAGAGCTCACACTGCAGGCGACTAAAATGCTGTGAAGATTGCAAGTACACCTTCTGTTTCAATTTAACAGACTGCATGCCACAGAGTATAGATTCATGCAAAAAAGATCCTTAAACAAAGTAGTGAGTGCATATACTGCACATATAGTTTCAACTTGTCTATGTATATTAATTATAATCCAAATTAACTAATATGACAAACACAAATAAATAGCTGTAACAAAAAATTACACTAGTTATAAATAGAAAATATTTTCAATGGACTTTCTTTTTATGCAACGCTATTATCCTCTTTTTTTTTCCCTTTTTTGTGATATTCTTGAAAAAAAAAACATTAGGTTACATTGTCAATGCAATGTGCTTTACTAATATGCCTTTTTAATATCTAAAAGAGAGGACTGATTTACCTCTGCTGCTTCTATCTACAGCTACTGTCACATATAGTTGATACAGCTGCACATAAACACCTAATAACTTTACAGTGTCTCCATAAAAAAACGACTTTTTTTATTAATTGCAATACAAAAATACCACTATTCCTGTCTAGAAATCTCAATATAAAATGTAAGAAAGCTGTTGACTTGATTTTAACAACTTCCGTAAGGTATTCGTTTGTTAAGCCAATAAGTGGGAATTGAACTGAAATGTAAATAATTTCAACCTATTTATCTGTACATATGTATAGGCTAGACATGCATCTAGTATGAGATTCTTACTGATTAAACTTTTGATTTTAAATAAACTGTGCTATACACTTTAACTGCTTATAATAAACACAAAATAATCAACAATTTTGCTACTAAAAAATATAAATCTTTCATTTCAACAAAACAAAATGTTATGTTTTGATTTAGAAAATTAGGCAAAATCAAAAATATTCATTTAAACACGTGATATATTTAGTAGCCGCTTGGAAGTGCTTATTGCACAGCCCTGTTGCTGTATCCACCCTGCATTAGGTTGACATGCTGTCTGTTTCTTAAAGACTTGCTGCACTACTGTGTGTGTCAACAATGGGTGGTTAGGTTGCTTAAGGACCCAGATGCAGAGCCGAGTGAAGCAAATGTAGTTCTGACAGGTTTAATTGAAGAACAAGGAAACAGAGGTAAAAATCCAGAAAACTAACTAAAAAGTTTAACAAACCAAAAACCATGGAGACATCAGGGGAAAAACGAGCCTATGAGCCACGGGGAGATGAGCTGAGTAGATGAGTACAGCATTGAGAAGTAACCAGCCCTGAGTGACTGCAGAGGTGGAGTATTTAAGGAGAAAAAAACAAAGGATGGACTAACAAGCTGAATGAGGAGCAGGTGTGGGTGGAACTGGCAAGAGGGAATCCAAGGGGAAAGAAAACAATCACAAGGGGGCAACAGAGAGTAACTAAAGAATGCTAGAATATTATGGAAAATAAAAACAAAACAACTGATAACAGAAAACTCACAGTCACAACAAATGAGAACCATAACAGTACCCCCCCCTGGGCGGAGGGGGAAACCAGGAAGGAGGGCAAGAAACCAAAAACAAAACAGAGTTCAAAAACAAAACAACCCACCCGGGGTGGGCGGAGGGGGAAACCAGGAAGGAGGGCAAGAAACCAAAAACAAAACAGAGTCCAAAAACAAAACAACCCACAAAAGGTGGGCGAGGGCAACCTAAGTTCTCTAGAGTTCAGCCGTGTGGCCAGGGAGGAGACAGAGTCTTTGGAGGCTGGCCGTGCGGCCGGAGGCGAGGACGAAAGTGGGCCTCTGGAGGCTGGCCATGTGGCCGGAGGCGAGGATGAAGGTGGGCCTCTGGAGGCCGGCCGTGCGGCCGGAGGCGAGGACGAACGAGGGCCTCTGGAGGCTGGCCGTGCGGCCGGAGGCGAGGACGAACGAGGGCCTCTGGAGGAGGCCGGCGGCGAAGAAGGACCCTTTGAGGACGCCCGCAACGTCGTCTCTGAAGAAGGGAGGCCTCAAGAGGAGGCCGCCGACGCCGTCTCAGAAGCAGCAGGAACCTTGGGGGGCGCCGTCTCAAACGCAGACACAGCAGGAACCTTGGGGGACGCCGTCTCAGACGCAGCAGGAACCTTGGGGGACGCCGACTGCGGCACTGGAACAGCCTCCGAGGGCGCCGCCGACTGCGGCACTGGAACAGCCTCCGAGGGGGCCGCCGACTGCGGCACTGGAACAGCCTCCGAGGAGGCTTGGAGCGCCGCTGAGGGGCCTTGGAGGCTTGGAGCGCTCGTTGAGTGGCCTTGGAGGCTTGGAGCGCCCGCTGAGCTTTAATTCAGAGATCCCTTTATTACTGTGCTCAGGGATATCTGGACGGCTCTGAGCGGGCTCAGGGGTCTCTGGCGCTAGGCTCAAAGGCCTGCTAATGGGCTCAGGGGTCTCTGGCGCTAGGCTCAAAGGCCCGCTAATGGGCTCAGGCGTCACAGGCACTGGGGAAACTGCCCCGCTAATGGGCTCAGGCGTCTCAGGAACTGGGGAAACTGCCCCGCTAATGGGCTCAGGCACTGGGGAAACTGGACTGCTAATGGGCTCTGGAGCCAGGGAAACTGGACCACTAATGGGCTCTGGAGCCAGGGAAACTGGACCGCTAATGGGGTCTGGAGCCAGGGAAACCCGACCTCTAATGGGGTCTGGATCCAGGGAAACCCGACCGCTAATGGGGTCTGGAGCCAGGGAAACCCGACCGCTAATGGGGTCTGGAGCCAGGGAAACCCGACCGCTAATGGGCTCTGGAGCCAGGGAAACCGGACTGCTAATGGGCTCTGGAGCCAGGGAAACCCGACCGCTAATGGGGTCTGGAGCCAGGGAAACCCGACCGCTAATGGGGTCTGGAGCCAGGGAAACCCGACCGCTAATGGGCTCTGGAGCCAGGGAAACCCGACCGCTAATGGGCTCTGGAGCCAGGGAAACCCGACCGCTAATGGGGTCTGGAGCCAGGGAAACTGGACCGCTAATGGGGTCTGGAGCCAGGGAAACTGGACCGCTGATGGGGTCTGGAGAAAGGCGATGCTTACGCCTGGAGGGAGCAGTTGGCAGAGGAGAGTCTGTAGAAGCTGAGGGAGAAGTGGAAGGAACTAATGGAGAAGTTGAGCAAGCAGCTGCTGCAGGTGATTGAGGTTGCCGTGGTGGATGTTTATTAAAAAGCTGAGCTAAAGCAGCCTTGTGATTCCACTCCACCTCTTCTAAAATGTCCAGAAACCCTAGGGATGACAGGAGAGTTGTTTGGGGGGTTAAAATCCTTTTAAGGTCGGCTGCAGCACATACCCGTCTCCAAGGAGGGCTGAGAGTGGCAATCCTGTCCAGTGTGAAACGACAGTTCTCCAGAAAGTGTGTCATGCTTCCTGCCAAGTTAGACTCTGCTGGGTCCATCCTGGCTGGTTCCTTCTGTCAACAATGGGTGGTGAGGTTGCTCGAGGACCCAATGCAGAAACGAGTGAAGCAAATGTAGTTCTGACAGGTTTAATTGAAGAACAAGGAAACAGGTAAAAATCCAGAAATCTAACTAAAAAGTTTAACAAACCAAAAACCATGGAGACATCAGGGGAAAAACGAGCCTGAGGAGCCACGGGGAGATGAGCTGAGTAGATGAGTACAGCATTGAGAAGGAAACAGCCCTGAGTGACTGCAGAGGTGGAGTATTTAAGGAGAACAAAACAAAGGATGGACTAACGAGCTGAATGAGGAGCAGGTGTGGGTGGAACTGGCAAGAGGGAATCTAAGGCGAAAGAAAACAATCACAAGGGGGCAACAGAGAGTAACTAAAGAATGCTAGACTATTATGGAAAATAAAAACAAAACAACTGATAACAGAAAACTCAGAGTCACAACAAATGAGAACCATAACAGTGTGACTCTTTGCTCCATACAGGTTAACACCAGGCACTCTAAACATTTTTAGGATTTTATTAAGATCTAGAAGATTTAAGCATCTCAGGGGTTTTAAATCATAAATAGAGTATGATGGAAAGTCTTTGTTGAATTAAACCATACCCTTTAACCTTTGGTATGCATTGTTAATTACTGACAGGTAGCCTATACACGAGTTAGCTATATGCTTTTAAGTAAAAAATTGATGATTCAATTAAAGAATTGAATTCTGCAATTGTTATTATTACAAAAAATAAATTTGTTTGATTTTAAACATAATTACTGCATTGAACAGAAAATTTCCCTGCAAACCAAACCGTAAGTTCCTTCACCTTAAGTTCCTGGGGGAAAAAAACATAATTGTAACGCTGACATTGAACCATCCATGATTCCTTTAGGAAAGCTAAGAATGAAGATCAATATAAATGAATCACACCTCAGCTTTCTTTTTATTGTTTCTAGATAATAAATATCTATACATTCACAATAGATCCAGATTGCTGAGCTGCAAGCACAGCTCAAGGTCAAAAAATGTTTTATACCCACAAATGTATATGGATGACAATAATACCATTCAACTTTAAAAACATGTCCATACCTGTCTACTCTGAAAGTCCAGAATCAAAACCATGTAGTTCTCATGCTCCACTAATCTGGAGGAAAAAAAAAAATCTGTAAAAGTGCTGAAACCCTAAGTGAACTCCTAACTGAAACATCATTACTTTAAGTTTTTAATCCAATTTTTCTTTCACTGCCTCTCCTTCCCCACTGCAATCTCTTTTCCTCTTTTCTTTTCTTATGTTTTGTTCACATAAAGCCCTTTGAGTTGTCATGTAACTGAAATGTGCTGAACAGATAAAAGTTCACATTCAACATTTACTAATAAAGTTTGCTTTTCTTCTTATACCCATTATTTTTATTTCAGCATCTCTCAAAGGTGCCAAGGTGTTGGTGACAGGAGCCAGTTCAGGCATCGGTGAACAAATGGCATATCATTATGCTCGCTTTGGAGCTCAGATTGTTATCACAGCAAGGAGGGAGAAGGTTTTAGAGCAGGTCAGTTCTCGTCTTTTTGCTCAGTTTTTTAGTACTACTGCTTATTTTGCTATATAATGCTGAAGTAAAATGAAAAATGCTTATTAAAAGCAAAAACGTAAATGAGATACATGGACAAAATATATATACCGGTAATAAAATATACATCAGATGCTTTCACAATAAATATGTTAGACTGTATTTTATGTGGAGTTTTTCTAATTTGTACTCCCAGGTTACTGAGAAGTGTTTGAGTCTGGGAGCCCAGAAAGCTCTCTTCATACCAGCAGACATGTCCTCTGAGTCGGACCCTGACAAAGTCATCGATTTTGCTGTGAAGAAACTGGGAGGCTTGGACTATCTGGTTCTCAACCACATTGGCGTGACTCGCTTTGCAATGTGGAATGGAGACGTGGATCATGTCAGGTGGCTCATGAAGGTAATGGAATCTTTTGATTGTTTAGCAGCGATTAAAAACCAAGAGGGTGCCCTGATGTTTCTTTTATCTCTCTTTCTGGGTTTTATAAAGCCCAATTTCTTCAGCTACATACAAATGGCCTGGAGGGCCTTGCCCACCTTGGAACAAAGTAAAGGCTCTTTGGTAATAGTGTCATCAATAGTAGGTAAGGTTCATTAACAGTTGTTACTCAATTAAAGGTATAGCGGAGGATTTCCCCAAGTTTTTGCAAAGAACTGCCCTCTCCACTTAAAAAAAAAATATGCACATGCACAACCCTATACCTGCTTACGAGAGGGAACACCTATTAATTGTGCGAGAGTCTGCACAAGCCCATTTCTCCTTGTGCATGCTCTGTTTAAGAGTTGCTGTTTGCATCACTCATAAAAGCCTGCTTTCCAAAAGAACATTTTTCCTCTTTGTCAGACTCCCCACTGTTAAGTGAGAATGAGGACAAGAACATAGGACGGCGTTACGTAAACATATCACCAGAATGATTGACAATAATTCACCTGGGAAAAGCACTTCCTCCACTATACCTTTAATTAACAAACTTTTGCTCAAATTTATAAGAGAATTTTCTGAGGTATTCATAAAGTTTGGTAATATATCTAGCACCAATAGAAAGTAACCAACCAGTATATAAGCAGATCAATTGCCATGTGTGAGAATTTTTGAGGTATATTAATGTTTTTTGGTGTTTCTGCGTATGTTAATGGCACATTAAATAAGAAATTGAGAAATGTCCTTTTTTCAAGAAGAAAATCATAATTTTGTTTTTACAATATGCCTAAAAAATATATAGAATTATTAGTTTCCTTTTTATTAAGTCTACATTAGGGCTGCAACTAACAATCTTTTTGTAAATCAATTAATCTGTCAATAATAATTAAAATTAATCAGATAACAAAAGGTTTCTTAAAGAAGACTTTGTATTAATTTAAACCAGGTGAAACTAAAATGTTTAAATTTGAGGAGTTCTGGATAGATTGATAGATAAAAAAAAATTATTTGAATGCAGAATGTTTATATATTTTTGTACATTTGTTGTATAGTTACTGCTCTATGTGGGTCGCTCTGTCAGCTAAAGGCCAGTTTTACAGTGTCCATACTCCAGTTAATGATTAATCTATTACTAAATTAGTTGACGATTATTCCAGTAATCGATTAATAAGTGTATATCCTCTAATTTTTAACAGCTTACTTACAGCAATAAATATATACTAAATGTCTATTTCAGGAAAACACAAAAAGCTGCTTTATTTAGAACTATAGCACCAATTCTCATTATATGTGAAAGAGTTTTAAACTAAAGACTCAGAGGAAGCCACAGACCTTTTCACCAAAATAACTTGACATCTATCTGTTGTTTTTTTTTTTTTTTTTTTAAGTAAGTTTTTTAAGTCTCAAGTACTCTGTAGTGTATTCAGGTATTTGTCTTTGGTTTGTAGGGAAAGTGAGCAATCCTTTTGTAGCCCCATACACTGCAACAAAAGCTGCCTTGAATGGATTCTTTGGCTCCCTCAGTCACGAACTTGCAATGAAGAAAAGCAACGTGTCCGTCTCGTTATGCACTCTCGGATTTATTGACACTGAATCAGCAGTGAACGCCGTCAAGTTTGTTAAAACCTTACAATACATATTCTAAGAAATTTTCCATTGTGAACTGTACCAGCTAGGTTTCATATCCTGTTTCTTTCTTTTGTTCTCCAGAGGAATCATTACGGCACCACCGTACCCTGCTTCAGAAGCTTCATTGAATATCATCATAACAGGAGCAACAAGGCAGCCGGAGCTGTTCTACCCCTGGTTCACATATGTCATGAATCTCATCAAAGACTGGTCCCCCTCCTTAACAAACCATCTCATCCGGAACTCCCTTAACTACAATCCATAGAAAACATGTTTATGATGACCCCCTCCTAAAAAAAAAGATTTCATATTCTATTCTAAAATGTACTTACATCTTACTCACAATCAACTGCACTTTAATTTAGTGTCCAAACCTTTTATTTTTTTTTAACAGTGTCCTGTCTGGCAATGTGGCAATAAGAATAATTGTCTTGATGCCAAAAAGAGCCCAATACATTTTACTTTTACAAGTGTAGCAGTATGGCAATTGCCATATTGCTCCACTTGTTTCATGCATACAAATTGCTTTATTATAATTATGCAGGGAGTTTTACAGTTTATATGGACACTGCAATGTAAATAGAGCAGAAAAACAGTAGAAGAAAGGGGAAAAAAAGGAGAAAAGATGAAAGAAAGAAGAGATAGAAAGGAGACAATGACAAAATATTTTCAGTCTGCTTCATCACCTGTAACTAAATGAAAAAAGAACAGCACAACCGAAAGACATGGTACGAGATATACAATAAAGCAACACCTTGAAACTATCGCTAAAGTAATATTATTAAGTCTGACATGTACTCTGTGTTACCTGAAGACATGAATGTGGGGTTTCTGTTTGGAAGTGAATCTCTAAGTACCTGGAGCCAAGCACCTGTAGTTGTTTGTGAGGGTGCACTTGTGCATGTAAAGTTTATCTATAGAAGAAAAATGCTCAATAGTGGTTGTGGAGAGCCGGAGAGGCACCCCCCCCCACCCCCAGAGCACTGAGTCCAGCGCTTGGAGACCCAAAGCCCCAGGCGCCCAAAGGGACCCCAAGAGTGAAGGCACCAAGGAGGGGCCAGCCCCGGAAATCAGACCCCCACCAAGGGAGGAGGAGAGACAGCCCCGAAGAAGCCCCCCAGCCACCGCCATGCCGGTGCCCCGGGGAGCCGCGGGGACAAGGCCGGCCACCCTGAAGTAGGGCCTGGTACCGAACACCTGCCCCCCCAAGGCACCGACCGAAACACCCTAGCCCCACAGAGCACCGAAACACGCCCCACCCCCCGGCACCAAACCCCGGCGACCGGCCGCAACACCCGACGTGACCGCACCACCCAGGAAAAACACACAGGCGGCCCGGGAGGCCCACGCGCATCCGCAGCGAACCGGCCGCGTGCGCCGCGGAACCTCCCCAAAACTCCCCCCAGGCTTAAAGCGCGGCCCCACCCCACCAAGACCGATGCCAACAGCGCGCAACGCAACACACCGCGCACAGAATTAACCCAAGAGCAGAAAAGCTGCCCGGCGCCCGACCGCAAGAAGAGCAGACCGCAGCCGGCGCAATCACTCCCCCCCAGCAGCGAACCACGCCGTTCCCCCACCGGATGAAGCCAGAGCAGCACAGTCGCGTCCCGCACCAGCCCCCGACACACGGCCGAAGCAGCTCCGCCACCCTGGCCCCCCGACGCGCGCCGGCCAGAAGCCACCCCCCACCCGCCCCGCAGCCACACCCGCCGCGATCAGCGGGAACAAAGCAGCTCCACCATGCCTCCAAGAGGGAAAACCCACCCGAAAACACAGCGCAGCCAGCCCATCCACACCGGCCCCCCAACACCACCCCCGCCTGAGCCGCCCAGACCCCCATACACCAGCGGCGCACCGCCAGCAGGACCCCCACCCAACGGGCCCGCCCGCCCCCCGAAAAAACGCTAAGCAGAAAAGCCCCCCACAATGTGTCCAAACCTTTTAGATCGCGCTTCCTGACCATCGTTTTTGTTTGTCAAATTCAAATCACAAGTGAACATGGTTTCAACACTGCTATCAAGCAGCAGTCATGGTATATCTGTACACATTTCAATGCTATGATTGGTAAGGAAAATACAGTTTGGCTTTTGTTGCAAAATACAAGCAAAGTTACACGCAAGAAATGAAAGAGGGAAAAAAATAGATTGGTGACAAAGAAATCAAAATAAACATTAAAACCGCGAGCGGTATTGACGGCCCTCGCAGCTCGCACCGCCTGGTATGTCGCGACCGCGGGAACCAAGCGACCGCTGGCTCCACGCTCCTTCCCAGCCTATTCTCCTGCTCTTCAGCCTATGCCTGCTGCTGCTTCCCCTCATCCTCTTCATCACCCTGTGCTGCTCCTCTTCATCCTCCTCTTTCTCCGCTCGGCCTATCGCGACCGCGGGAGGTGAGTGACCGCTGCCCCCTTGCTCCTTCCCAGCCAGCGGAAAAAGTGCCACGCTTCACTTCTGGACCAGCCGGAGACAACCACAGCTTTGGTCAGGAAGGGTTAAACTAGGGATAAAAGATAATATCTGGGGATGAATCTCATCTGTCAGATATTTGCTGTAGCAATCTCAGTTGGTGGGTCAAAAGTATATATTCAAAAGATGGAGAAACAGCACTGCCAAAACCCACGGTTAGCGGTATTACACCCTACTCAAAACAAAAAAAATCATTAAAAAATCCATAGTTTGCAATAAAATCCCCAAAAAAATCACAAATGTCAAGGAACACATCTTGCATGTCCTAGATTCTTTTTTAGGTGATTTATTAAATAATTCAAAGAAAGAAAAATCTTTAAACGTGAATGCCTTATACTGCGGCAGTTGAAAAATATATCCTGGCATTATCTGTCCACTTGACCAACTATTAGGCAAGAACGCAAACGTTTGAAAAATCAGAGTGACAGACTTTAAAGAAGCGCTTTGCTATTGTAACCAGCTTACAGCAGGCTTTGTAAAGAACGTATTTTTGAAAGTTTTAGCTCATTTGGATAAAAGGCTAACTTTATACACTTTTTTGAAAAGAGGTCCGTGATTTCACAACAGGGTGAAATGTAATTCAAAATGGCCGACTCTACTCAAAACAAAAAAATTCATTAAAAATCTATAGTTTGCAATAAAATCCCGAAAAAACTCACAAATGTCAAGGAACACATCTTGCATGTCCTAGATTTTTTTTAGATGATTTATTAAATAATTTAAAGAAAGAAAAATCTTTAAACTTGAATGCCATATACTGTGGCGGATGAAAACCCCATAAGATGCTCAAACATGCATAGATTCACGCCAAACTCGGCAGTCTTTTTTATAATCAAAGGATAAATAACTGTTCCAAATTTGGTTAGGATTGCTATAAAACTTTTTGAGATACAACAATTTCCTGTTAACACAAACTTTTGAAAAATCAGAGTGACGGACTTTTAAGAAGAGCTATGCTGTGTTTACCATCAAACAATTAGCGATTAGAGGAATATATTCCAAAAGTCGTAGCTCATTTGGGAAAACAACTGATTTTTTAGGAATATTTTAACATAGTGATTCTATTTTCATAAGGGTACTGTTTGATTCAAAATGGCCGACTTCATGAGAGGTTTAGACCATGGCTTCAATGAAACTTTTTGTAGGTGGAGAGCTCATACAGATGTGTGCCAAGTTTCATTATCCTAAGAATGAGCATGGCTAGGGGCTGAATTATTTCCTGGCATTATCTGTCCACTTGACCAACTATTAGGCGAGAACGCAAACTTTTGAAAAATCAGAGTGACGGACTTTAAAGAAGCGCTTTGCTATTGTAACCAGCTTACAGCAGGCCTTGTAAAGAACGTATTTTGAAAGTTTTAGCTCATTTGGATAAAAGGCTGATTTTATACAATTTTTTGAAAAAAGGTCAGTGCTTTCACAACAGAGTAAAATGAAATTCAAAATGGCCGACTTCCGGTGGGGTTTAGACCATGGGTCCAAGAGGCTTTTAGTTAGGGCCTGATGAGGTGCAAATGTGTTCAAAGTTTCAATATTCTAGGACTAAAAACGGCTTGGGGCTGGTGGTTTGAAGTTTGTTATTTCTAGGGGGCGCTGTAGGAAAATTAAGCCCCGCCCACAAAATATTGCTCTGGATTCCTGTTTGGAGTTGGACTAGGATCATCTCTTGTGATTTTGGTGCAGATCTGATTATAAATGAGGAAATGAGAGCCAATCGTATTTTCATGGCGAAACGCCTCACTTCGCCATGGCACCACGGCAACACCATTTGACTAAAGCTCTCTGTGCCTTAAACGAAGTTAGGACAACATGTTGTCTGTCTGCTGACACAGTTTTAGGTTGATGAGGTCAAGTAGGACAGAGAGGGACCATTCCAAGTAAAAAACGTGACTTCCGGTTCTCAGGGGGCGTGGCTTCAATTATGTAACAGTTTTAACATACAGTTTTGTTGGGAACCGAGAGAGGATTAATACTACCAGGTTTCGTGTCATTTCAGTTTCATATGTAAAAGTTATTGCATTTTGAAAATGTTGGCGAGTACGCCAACTTCGAGGCCTGGCCACACCCCTTTAAAATGCTGGAAAACTCAAAAAGTTTGATAAGTTTGGATCTCACATGCCTTATCTGCATACATGCCAAGTTTGAAGCCGATGGCTCACCGTCCCTAGGAGGAGTTCGCGAAAGTTCGACGTCAACAAAATTGAAAAAGTGCCAAAAATCGGCCTTTGAGCCAAAATGGCTGACTTCCTGTAGGTTTTAGAGCATACCCATAATGTAACTTTTTTCATGATTTGGTGAGATCTATGCACCTGCCAAATCTCAAATCTCTGTGACTTACGGTTTTCCCCAACTCACGTTAGGGGGCGCTGTAGAGCCATTTGGCCACGCCCATTTTGGATTCCATTATCATACGTAAATTTCACTAGGGGGACAATTTACTGCCAAGTTTGGTGAGTTTTTGAACATGCTAAAGCCTCCAAAATGCTGTTTCTTTTACGCGGAGAAAAATAATAAATAATAATAATAATTAAAACCGCGAGCGGTATTGACGGCCCTCGCAGCTCGCACCGCCTGGTATGTCGCGACCGCGGGAACCAAGCGACCGCCGGCTCCACGCTCCTTCCCAGCCTATTCTCCTGCTCTTCAGCCTATGCCTGCTGCTGCTTCCCCTCATCCTCTTCATCACCCTGTGCTGCTCCTCTTCATCCTCCTCTTTCTCCGCTCGGCCTATCGCGACCGCGGGAGGTGAGCGACCGCTGCCCCCTTGCTCCTTCCCAGCCAGCGGAAAAAGCGCCACGCTTCACTTCTGGACCAGCCGGAGACAACCACAGCTTTGGTCAGGAAGGGTTAAACTAGGGATAAAAGATAATATCTGGGGATGAATCTCATCTGTCAGA